CGGTGCACACAGGCCTTGTGGAAGTTTATAAAGCCAAAACAACCACTGGATAGTAAAGAGGGATGTGAACCGCAGAGTGCTTCTCCCCAGTCAAAAGAACAGCAGGGAGATGCCAGAGGCTCCCCAAAGCAGGACTCACCTTGTATTCATCCATCTGAAGACAGTATGGATATGGAGGACAGTGATATTCAGATTGTTAAGGTAGAATCTATTGGGGATGTATCAGAGGTTAGAAGTAAAAAAGATCAGAACCAGTTTATTTCTTCTGAACCCACTGCTTTACATTCATCAGAGCCCCAGCACTCCCTGATAAATTCAACTGTGGAAAACAGAGTAAGTGAAATAGAACAAAACCATCTCCACAATTATGCCCTCTCTTACACAGGCAGTGATAACATCGTCTTGGCCTCAAAAGATGTCTTTGGGCCTAATATTCGAGGTGTAGACAAAGGCCTACAGTGGCATCATCAATGCCCAAAGTGTACCAGGGTGTTCCGTCACCTGGAGAACTACGCCAACCATTTAAAAATGCACAAACTCTTTATGTGTCTACTCTGCGGCAAGACTTTTACTCAGAAAGGCAACCTTCATCGACACATGCGTGTGCATGCCGGCATTAAACCTTTCCAGTGTAAGATCTGTGGGAAAACCTTTTCTCAGAAGTGTTCCTTACAGGATCATCTTAACCTTCACAGTGGAGATAAGCCCCATAAGTGTAACTATTGTGACATGGTTTTTGCACATAAGCCAGTTTTGAGGAAACACCTTAAACAGCTGCATGGCAAAAACAGCTTTGATAATGCCAATGAGAGAAATGTGCAAGACCTCACAGTGGATTTTGATTCTTTTGCATGTACAACAGTTACAGACTCTAAAGGGTGTCAGCCACAGCCTGATGCAACACAGGTCCTGGATGCAGGTAAACTGGCCCAAGCTGTCCTGAACCTAAGAAATGATAGTACTTGTGTGAACTGAGTAGGGGCTTTATGCTCAAAACTAGAAGTGACTGAAAACATGGCAATAGTCTTGAGTGTTTTTAGAAGAGATTTTGCTAGCTTGACTTCTCCAAAGCCTCTGTGCAGGTTGTAGAATGAATCAAAGTACTAACAGACCAGGCAACTTACCACTTGGAGTGGTCTTGCCTTCCTTTTGCCCTCTCCCATTTTCTGTTTTGAATTATCTTGTGATGCCTGTCTTCCTTTCCCAAGGAGTATTCCATTTGTCTACCTAACATTGACTTATGACACATTTTAGGCTTTTCACTGGACACATTCAGAAGGCACAACAAGTTAATAACATCACCTGCAATCCACTAATGGATGCTATGCTAAGAGAAGTGAATAATATTTTTCTTTGGCAGAAAATAGGCTAAGATATAAAGTGATATTGCTATTGGCCTGAATATGTGATAGAACTTCTGGTTGCCTACTTATAATTCATCTATGAATGAATGACTCCCTACCATTTGTACTTTTCTTGGAACTGGCTATAAAGAAGTATTTTAAGTTGTTCAGCACTCTTTTCAACAGCATTATGGCCCCCAACTTTATGTCACTGAATTGTTCACGTAGACCAGAGTACAATCTTTCCGGCAACACCTGCAGGCATAGTTAGGTATCACCATGAGGAGCATAATCAACAAAGAATAGAAGTACATTTGTACAACAATTTAACGTGAGACGTCTTCCTCAAAAGAAGCCAAACGCTTATTCATGTGTAACTTATTTGTTGATGCTTTTTAAGTCAGGATGCTCCAAGCATACTTAAAATGTGCTAAAGTATAATAGTCTCTCTAAAAAGAAGCTATTTAGGAGTCAGTCTTTGGACTCTGCTTTAGAGGTTAGCTATCAGAGAGGTGTTTAGCCATCAGAAAGGTGTTTGGGCTTCAGAGTTTTGTTCAGTGTATTCTAAGAGTCTCTGAATTCTCATTTTCTCATGTACCTTAATTTCTAAAATGGATGAAAAAAATGGGTCGTGGAATGAGCAACCAGGCTTTTGCATTCAGATATTCCTATAGCCCCACCTTGCTATGTTTGATAGATCACTAATACAAAGTTGATCTTCCAAGTATGGTAAAACAGAACAACTGTGTGTTGTAGTTCAGAAATAAAATTTTGAGTCTTATTAGTTTCTGACCCATGAGTTAGACATAGGTAATAGAAGTGTTAGAGTCCTTAGAGAGTCTTAAGAGATAATTTACTCCACCTCTCTCTCTTTTTTTTTTTTTTTAAGTTGGGGTATTAATAGCCCAAAGAGGTGGCCTGGCCAAGGTTGGCCAAATTAGATAAGTGACTAAATATGAGCTAATGTCTCCTCATTTTTTCTCACTACCCCTTGGCTTAAAAAGATCTAGTACATAATCAAGAATACATTAGCAAAAAGCTCACCTTTGTGAATCCCTATTGGCTTTCTAAGACAGCCTGGATTTTGCAAACAAAATATCACAGAAGGATTTATTTTTGTTATTTTTTAGTTAGAATAAATATTACATTCTTCCCAAGCAGGTGACTGATTTGCTGGGTATTAGGGAGGGAAAGGACAAATAAGAATAAATGTGAGAAGGATCTAAATGTGAAACTGATTATGTCTGGAAACAGTGTTTATTTAATTTCCATCAGGATTTTGTTTTCATGTTTGAGCTATGAGAGTGCATATACCGATAAACCAAAAATTAGGTTTAACTTGAGTAGTCAGGGAATTCTTAAAGTTGTTATAATTTGATACATTTACATGTGAATCTGACTTGAGGTATTATTTCTACCTTTTGTTAAAAGATTTAAAATGAGAATAAAATTGAGTGATAAGACTAATAGATATCTTATATCTAAGGTCACTCATTACATGGTCTAATGATGCTGCCAAGCATTCCAGTTTTTATATGACCCAGGCAGAGTACCAGTTCTCTAAAACAGTGTGACATTACCATGTTAACCAACAAGTCACTATTTCCTTTGAACATCATTTTGGCATGGAAATTTCATGTTGGAGTGCTTCCTTTGTTTATATTCATGTCCTGTTTTTGTTACTGGTTTGAAGACTAAAAGTCATGGGTTCAAAATAGATTGCTCTCTTTGGTTGGAGACTATTGCTGGGTTCATCTAGTCATTCAAGATGCATTTATTGAGCATCTACTGTTGCCAGGCACTATGCTAGATGATGAGGATATGAAGGTAAGATTGCAATGATCCCTGCTCTCGCAGATCTTACAGTTTCGTGTAGTCTTAGGGAGCTAAGATATCAATTTGATTTTAAACTAAGAGTAATAAAGGAAACTGCCTTGCTTTTTTTGATCACTTAAAGTCAGCATCTAGATGGTTTTGTATCTGTAAAAGCTATAGTTCTCACCTTTTGTACTGCAAACCTCTTGGCTGGGGCGGTGTTCTGTTTCTGTGAGACATTTTCTTAATTTTGGTGGGATTTTACTTTTCTCCTTCTTTGTTTATACATGTTTCTTAGATTGTATTGCAAAGTGGTCAAATTATTGATATCAAGTAAGTTTTATAGAGGAAGATTTTTAAAAACCTTAGTTATTCAGCATTTGTATTTTATGGATCCCCAGGAAAACTAAAAAGGGGAGAACACTCTTTACCATAGTTGGTTTAAAAAAGATACTGTATCACAGTTATTTATTTATTATTTAATTTTAAAGACAAACTCCAAACCGAAGCAGCTCTGAGGTAAATCAGATGTGGTTTTAATTTGTTTTAGTTTCTTTTTTAGAAAATCTGTAAGTGGAGGGTGACCAGTGTCACTGCTTTTAAATATTGTCCTAAAAAAAACAACCTAGAACATTTTATTTCAGCTGGTGAATAGCTGTTTTAAACCTGTTGTATGTTAGACATACTATGAACTACCTCTTCACTTATTATGGGGAAGTTTCCTTAATAAAAGTGTGACAATTAAAGCTCTGGTGTGAGTAGTTTATTTTTTCTCCCCTCCTTTCCTTTTCAATTGCTTGAATTTGAATACAGGAATACTTCCTTCATTCCTATTCTTTAAAACACATATTAATAAAATATGCTGAGCTTGGCTTCAGAACCAAATATGAGTTAACCAGAAATTGTTTCTAGGGTCAGTTACTTAAATGAGAGCCTGTTGACTAAGGGGTAAAGCAACTGCTTTTAAGAGCTGGTTCAGAAATTCCTTCATTTGGCAAATACTTGGATGCCTACTGAGTGCTAGTCTTGGGGAATGTAAAGATCGGTAAGGCACTGCCCCAAGTACCTCTGCTTAGATGGGACGCAGATTTCAATACTGGAATGATAATTGCACTAATGAAGGCAGCCAAATGGGTTGGCTTGACAGCTAAGAGCCAGCTAATTCAAGGCAGTTCCTGGTGGCTTTAAGGATGATGGGATTTTGAAGGGTTAGTGGGAGGAGGGATTGGGCATATGGGAGGAAACAGTAGATGAGAGGCTTGGGTTTGCCCAAAAACGTGGGGCGGGGCGGGGCGTGAAGGTGAGAAGGAAGCGATAGAGTAAAGGAAGAGAGATCCAGAGGTTGGGGCCAGATCCTGATGGGGCATTAGCTAGGCAATCTCGGATACTGATCCCCATGGCAGTCTCCTTCCTCCATCACCTTTTAAATTGCAGGTGGCCCAGTAAAAGGAGAGGACCTGGCCATAATAATCCGCGAGGGCCGCCCTGTGGTCCCGGCGCGGGGTATTCTGATGGACGCACTGTACCCCAACTTCACAAGCCTCCTGCGGTTCGGATGTTGGGGAGAATTCAGAAGGGGAATTGGCTCCCGTACTGATCAGGGACAGGAGAAATGGGATTTGCCGGCACTGGGCGTCTTTCTGTCATTCCGCAGGGGTGGGGGAGTGAGGAAGGGAGGATGTCTCAGAATGTCCTTCCGGTATGCTCAGCCCGCCCCCTGCGGGGTCAAGGTGGTTGACACCGGATGTATTTCCTTCCAGACTAAGTCTACCTTCCGGTCCGGGCCCTTTGCTGCGGAAACGTCGGTTCTGGTTTTCCGAGTGGGTGAGTGAGCGCCAGGGAGACGCGGCGGGTGGGGAAGCCCCACGAGGAGGAGGAGGGGGGCAGCTGGGTGCTGCCCGGCGGTGGCTGGGCTGGTCCTGCAACCGCCTGGCCGACAGGGCCTTGGTCCTGTTGGGCTTGGCTCAGGAAGACCTGTGGCAAGCTGGCGGCTCTTCCCGGCCACTGGGAACCCAGGTTCAATTCCGCAGACGTTCCCTAAGCTCTTCCTGCTCTGTGCCGGTCCCCGGCGTTCGCTGCAGGAACTCGGCTAAACGAGGCGCTGTTTCGTGATGCTCTGGGAGCAACCGACTCTTAAGGGGGAGACAGGAGGAGTCTAGGAAGCCTTACTTAATTTAGGCCTTAAAGGAGCTAAATCGCTAGCTGGAAAAAGTAACGGGAGCGTAACATGTGCAAAGGTGCATTCGGGGGTCTTCTTGCCTGGGCAATGGTGAAAATCTGAATATCAAAGAAACTTCCATGAAAAAGAGTAGAGAAAAGATAAAGCTATAAAGGTACTTAAGGCCAAATCATGAGTGAGCTTTTATTTGCTAAGAAGGTTAGGCTGTCCCGTAGGTAGAGGGCAGCTGGAGAGGGGGGGGGAAAGAAAAGTTTTGAAAGATGTCAATTTGCCCTAGCCAGTTTAGCTCAGTGGATGGCGCGTTGCCCTGCGGACTGAAGGGTCCCGGGTTCAATTCTGCTCAGTGGATGGCGCGTTGCCCTGTGGACTGAAGGGTCCCGAGTTCAATTCTGGTCGAGGGCACATGCCCGGGTTGCAGGCTCGATCCCCAGTAGGGGGCGTGCAGGAGGCAGCCAAGCAATGATTCTCTCTCATTATGGATGCTTCTATCTCTCTCTCACTCCCTCTTCCTCCCTCTCTGATATTTTTTAAAAAAATAAATAAAAGATGTCAATTTTGGTGGCACTCAGTAGGGTAGTTTGGAATATAAGAGACTGGTATCAAGGAGAACTTTTGGAAGACATGGCAGTGGTCCAGGTGAACAGAATAAAGACCTGCAGTAGTGATGGGGAGTCTAAAGTTTGGAGATTACATTAAGGTTTCTAATTTGGGAAACTTACAGCCATTTAGTAGTAGCATTAACTATACAAGGCACATAAATTTAGCCAAGGAGAAAAATATAGAATCTGTTAACTACAATTCAATATAATATAAATGCTGTAACAAAAATATGAAAAATGTGCCACGAGATCAGAGAGAAATGCATCTTAATTTTTCTGGATTTTAAGGTTTAATTTTCTGGAATTTATTCTTAGCACCCAGAGTAAAATTTGAGTGAGTATTCTTTTACCCAATTCAGGTTTGGGACTTTAAAATTTTGTTTGTTTTTACTAGCACAGTGTAGGAAAGCATTCCTTATCCTTACAGCAGTGTTTGTATTATATTTTGCTTAGATTTTGACCATGGCTGCGGAGTCTGATGTTCTGCACTTCCAGTTTGAACAGCAAGGAGATGCAGTCTTGCAGAAAATGAATCTCTTGAGACAGCAGAATTTATTTTGTGATGTATCAATTTATATTAATGACACCGAGTTCCAGGGGCACAAGGTGATATTAGCTGCTTGCTCCACTTTCATGAGAGATCAGTTTTTACTCACACAGTCAAAACATGTCAGAATTACCATCTTGCAGAGTGCGGAAGTTGGCAGAAAATTGTTGCTCTCTTGCTATACTGGAGCACTTGAAGTGAAAAGGAAAGAGCTTTTGAAATACTTAACTGCTGCTAGTTACCTTCAGATGGTTCACATTGTGGAAAAGTGTACAGAAGCTTTGTCAGGATACCTGGAAATTGACCTTTCTATGAAAAACAACAATCAGCATACCGACCTGTGTCAATCCTCTAACCCAGATGTTAAAAATGAGGAAGAAAATACAGATAAAGACTGTGAGATCATCGAAATTTCAGAAGATAGTCCTGTAAACATAGATTTCCACGTTAAAGAAGAGGAAAGCAATGTGTTGCAGTCTACAGTAGAGAGCTTGACATCAGAGAGACAGGAAATGAAGTCACCAGAGCTGTCTTCAGTTGATATAGGTTTTAAAGACAATGAAATTTGTATCCTCCGTGTGGAATCTATAAATACCGATGGTGTAGAAAATGGGCAGTTTTCACAGCCTTGTACCTCGTCAAAAGCAAGCATGTATTTCTCTGAAACACAGCATTCACTGATCAATTCTACGGTTGAGAGCAGAGTGGCAGAAGTTCCTGGGAGTCAAGATCAGGGCTCATTTTGTGGGAATACTGAAGGAAGTCATGGAACAGCAAATGAGATTCAGAACCTGGAAGATATTTATTCTCTGAGACACCAGTGCCCCAGGTGTCCACGAGGATTTCTTCATGTTGAAAATTATCTGCGCCACCTTAAGATGCATAAACTGTTCTTGTGCTTACAGTGTGGGAAAACATTTACACAGAAGAAAAATCTCAACCGGCACATTCGAGGGCACATGGGCATACGGCCCTTTCAGTGTACTGTGTGCTTGAAGACATTTACCGCTAAAAGCACGTTGCAGGACCACTTGAACATACATAGTGGGGATCGGCCATACAAATGCCAGTGTTGTGACATGGATTTCAAGCACAAATCTGCCCTGAAAAAGCATGTGACCTCTGTGCATGGCCGGAGCAGTGGTGAAAAAAATACCTATTCATGATCTCAAAAAGCAAAATCTATTATAAGTACAATCACACCTTGCTATGGAAGCTATGTTAGGCAAGTCTTTCTATAGAAATGCAACATTTGTAATATTGTTTTCCTCCTCATCTTTGGGTCTTATTTTTGGTCTGCCTATACATTATTCTTTCTGAGCTTATACTAAGAGTTCCAAAGTGTGGGAGACATGATAAAGCTGATGGAATGCTCTCTCACATCTTGTGTTATATAAGTCCCAGTTGTATACCTAGAGAAATACTGTTCTTCTCTTAAATATTATTGATTCTAATGACAGCGGATCCAGCAGAATTTCCATATTCAGATTTTGAGTATCTATGTAGTTGATGGAAGTGTAAAATAACCTAGCCATGTAATAACTTTAATGAGTTAAGATAATGGAAAGATAAAATTTAAAACACCCTGTTATCCATTATTAGTCACTTTAAAATCAGATAGGACTAATAAATTTTTAACCTACTGCTTTTGGATTGCAAACTAAACACCAAGGTACCTGTTGTTATAAAATGTAAAAGAACATAATTCATATTCACTTGGGAATAGCAGAATTTGCTTATACCTTTCTTAAAACTATTTCCATGGTTTGTTAGTATACATATTTTATAAATTATTCATTAGGCCCAAATGTCTTGATTTTATTTAATGCAGTGGCATCTAATAATTTTGTGGCTAGTAAAAACATACCATTGGCTTGAAGCTCTAAAAAATTACTTTTAGAAATCCCAACTTAACCAAAGGTATTAGTTACACCTTTTTTGTTGTTGTTGTTAAATATATTTTTATTGATTTCAGAGAAGAATGGAGAGGGAGAGAGAGAGAAAAACACCAATGAGAGAGTCATCGATCAGCTGCCTCCTGCACATCCCATACTGGGCATCAAGCCCGCAACCCAGGCATGTGCCCTGACTGGAAATCGAACCCTGACCTCCTGGTTCATAGGTCAACACTCAACCGCTGAACTATGTCGGCTGGCTACCCTTTTATCTTCTAGTTAACATAGTCAAGTTGACCTTTGTCAATTTTGTATCTAGGTAATAGGAATGGTATGCTCAAAACACTTGTAGCAGACATCTCTGAGGTCATTAGACAGAGGAACACTTTCCATATCTAGCTCCTTCTTATTGCTCGTTTCCTTTCTCGAACAGTATCCCCTCTGCTAAATGATTTGTTTTTGGTATACAGTTTCATGAATCTTTTTTTTTTTAAATATATTTTATTGATTTTTTACAGAGAGGAAGGATAGAGAGTTAGAAACATTCATGAGAGAGAAACATCGATCAGCTGCCTCCTGCACACCCCCTACTGGGGATGTGCCAGCAACCAAGGTACATGCCCTTGACCAGAACCGAACCTGGGACTCCTCAGTCCACAGGCTGACGCTCTAGCCACTGAGCCAAACTGGTCAGGGCCAGTTTCATGAATCTTAACACATGTATAGATTTATGCAACCACCTGTGTAATCAGAATACAGAACATTCTATCACCACCACTAACTTCCTTTATGCTACCCTTTTGTAGGCAGTTCCTCCTAACTCTAAACCCTGCCAATAGTTCTTCATCAGTATATCTTGCCTTTTCTGGAATGTCATAAATGGAATCAGCATGAGCTCTTTTGAGATGCTTCTTTCACCTAGCATCATGCCCTTTGAGATTCATCTATTTTGTGTATGTCAGTAGTCCATTCCCTTTTCTTTCTGAATTGTCATACATATCAATTTTCTTGTTATCACTAGATAAACAGTTTAAAGATGGAAATCTATTAGTGTTCTCTTAATTATTAATAGTCATTAACATTAATGCAATTTTTATTTACTATATGTTGACAAAAAGCTTAACTATCTTTAGAGTTTTATGCTATATTTCCAGAAATGTGCCAAAAGCAAAACCATGACCATATGGTTATTTTACTTACAGTAATATTTCAGATTGTGTTATGAGCCATTGTTCTCCAATAGCCTTGTCTACATTTAACACAAAACTTTGTTGTCATAACACAGATTAAAATATATTGCAGGGCAAGTCATATCTTCTAAAAGACAGGAACCACTTTTAGTAAAGAAGCCTGACTGGATGCATCTTACTTTCAAAATGTTCTATTCCTCTTCTACTCACCTCAGCTTTATGTAGCATTTCTGCTATATTTAGTATCAGTTGAAGCCCTTCCATATTTTAATATGTAATATACTTTGTACCATTTATAAGAATTTTGTGATGAATCACATGTTGTTATAAATGTTAATTATCCTTTTTGTGATACTTGTGAAAAATATATTTTCTATAGAATGTTAACTCTGAGAGAGACTTTAAAGAATCTAGCTCTCATATTTGATAAGAAAGCCAACCTCATGACCCCTCAGGTCACCATTTAGTATCATTGGACAGGTCACCTCTTCTTGAGCTTCTCTTAAATTTATATGCAAAATAATAACTTTGATCTTGATCATTTATAGATCATTTCTAAGTCTAAAATGCTGTGATTTTATATTTAAATCTTCCAGAGTTCCTAAGAACAGAGAAGAGGGGAAAGCAAAAGAGAGTTTGGTGTCTTTTTGCACTATTTGCTCACTCCATTGGAGACAGAATTTTTCTAAAGCAAATAGTGTTTTTCTCCCACTGGAGAACATGATAGTGCAGTGCTTAATCTTCTTTCCCATTTGATCTATGATTGGCCATTTGTAGACATTTTTCTATCAGAAATAGTTTGTGTTTGAAATACTTATTTTTGCTTTTTATGGTAAAATTTAGTTGGGGAGGGATCAAGATGGGGTGGGTGAACACATAGTAAACTTTTTTGCTGTTGTTTTTTTACGAATTGCCTATCTTTGATGTTAAAAAAGAATTACGGTTGAACTATGTTTAAGTTTTATGTGTGCCTTGTAAGATTCTTGTGAAATTTTTTGTAAGCACTTTGAGATTTTTTGCGTGTGGGGAAGGGGTGTTTTGTGAAAGTGATGGTTATTTATTTATTTATTCCTGTTCATTTAGCACAGAGTGATCTCAAAACATTTCTAGGTGAATGTCTGTTTGCATGATGTGCTTAAACAATTTCAGGAAAATGATATCTTTTTTAAAATGCAGGCATGACAAAGTTAAGTGTTGAATTTATTCATTTAAACATTCACTTTTAATTGTTTGTTTTTCTATATGATGGGGAAAATGCAAAATGTTTGTCTTAAGCCTCTTCATTTACTGCATTTTTGAATAAAAGATCTTGGAAAGGTAGTTGTTACTTTGGTGTAAGAGAAAATCCTTTCTTTTTTCCCTTGGATGTAACTATCATATATGTTTACATAAGAAATAATAAACTGGAGATGGGAATGGAGAGCTTTGTGTTTTGTGTACATCTATGAATTTTGAAGAAGGAAACTATTTCTCCTGGCTAATCATTCATTCAACAAATATTTACGGAGTGCTTACAATATCTAGAAGTTAAGTATACCAACAAAAATCCCTGCTCTCTCCCTGGCCGGTTTTGCTCAGTGGATAGAGCGTCTGCCTGGGGACCCAAGGGTCCCAGGTTCGATTCCGGTCAAGGGCATGTACCTTGGTTGCAGGCACATACCCAGTGGGGAGTGTGCAGGAGGCAGCTGATCCATGTTTCTCTCTCATCGATGTTTCTAACTATCCCTCTCCCTTCCTCTCTGTAAAAAATCAATAAAATATATTTTTTTAAAATCCCTGCTCTCATGAAACTTAAATTCTAGTGAAGGGAGACAAAATTTGTGAACAAAATTAATGTATGTCAGATTTTGGAAATGGAGAAAATAAAGCAGGGAGTGCTAGGGAAGGGAAATTCTGATTGTAATTTTAAATATAGTGAGTGGTCAGGCCACCTTTGAAAAATCTTATCAGATCATGTACAACTATCCAGTAAAATGGAAAGTGTACACATACACACACCCATCACTATCTAGTTGAATGGAAAACAACCAAATGAACCATTGTTGGGAACCTCTAGGATTGGCATATATTTCATAAATAGAAGAGTATGAAAAGGATAAAATTTATGGGAGAATAGTCTTTGGTATGACCATTGAATTTTTAAAAATTGGTACTTTTTTGGTCTTCCAGGCAGTGATAACCATATTTATTGTTAAGTTCATTATAGTTTATAAACTTTTTCCATATGTCTTCTAATTCATGGTGGGTTTGCTTCCATGGAGTCTTTTGTTGGATATCTGGTTTCATATTGGAAAGTGCCTTGAGCTTAATTGCAACTCAGCCATTTTCTTAATCTGAGTTTTGCAGTTTCTCATCAGGAACAGAATACATAGTATCTGCCTTTTAGGATTATTTTGATGAGTAAATGAAATATAAATGAAAGTAAAAATGAAAATTTTATTAACACAGGACCTAGCACATAGTAAGTTGTCCATAAATATTAATTCCAAGCCTATTTCTTCCGATATAAAAACAGTGAGAATAATTTATACCTTGCAGTTTACTGTGAAAAATCCTGCAACAAATATTTATGAAGTTATTAGTGCCAAAATTTGTGCTTTGAATTTTGATGCCTGCCAGCTTCTGAGAAACTCAATTTTCTCGTTAATAAAGAGGTGTGCGTTATTGCCTGCCAAACAAATGCTCTCTTTTTCTTTCATTTTTTAAATCAGGGAGATTGGTTGGCACCTGGAGGGACTGAGGGATGGGGTCAGCATCTGATTGTGGGAGAGTGATAAGATTGTAATACAAATGTATCAGATTAAGTTAAATGAATATCACTATTTTCACTAATATCATGAGGGCAGTCAGACACTGGCTCAAACCAATGTCCAAGAGTCTGGCTCTAGGAGCAGATGAATGTGCTGGGAGTTTCCCATAAACCCCTTCGGCTTGCCTAGGCATCCTAACAGTACCTCCCACCGTATTCCAGTTTTCCCATGTCACGTGATGAGGGTGCTTCGGCTCCAGCAGAGGGAAGCTAATGCGCGGTCCAGGTGGCTGGAGCTACTACGCTTTCCTTCCACCGCCCTTACTCCCGGTTTTGCGTGATCTCGCGTGATGTGGGGAGTATCTTCTCGCGAGAGTTAGGGCTGGATCCCTCCAGGTCCGCCTCCATGGTGAAGAGGCGGTGGTGGAGGAGGAGGTGGAGGGAGGAGGAGGAGGCCCCGCCGCGGCCTTCGCCGCCGCCAACGGGGCTGTCCCTGTAGCTCCCGATGGAGTTTGAGGTCGTGAAGCCGCCGCCGAGCTCTGCCCCGGCGAGACGAGGCGCCTCAAAAAACGGGGGCGGGCACGATGCAGCTCGGGCCCCAGTCCGGGTCCCTGGTCCCCGGCGATCGATCGGGCGGGAGACCTATGTTAGCCCGGGGCCTGTGCCCTGTCGTTGTCGGTGCACGGAGGGTTGGGAACTGAGGGCCGCACCTGACACCCCAACCGGGAGTCCGGAGATCAAGGAGGCCCCCGGCCTTGGTCGGGCTCTTTCAATGCCGAGGCCTGGCGCAAATGGCCACCTCCCTTCGCCTCCTGCGGAGGGGCCGCCCCTGACCCCTAAGCAATCCACCCGAGCAAAGGCCAGGCTCCCCTTCCCTTTCCACGCCAGTTAGTAAGAGGGGCTTTGGAGGAGGTTCTCGAAACCAAGTACCCTCCTAGCTTTTCGGCTTTCCGCCCTGGGGCGTCCCCAGATCCTAACGCAGGGATGGTGGCGGCGGTCTGAGTAGTAAGCGGGGACCCTGGCCAGACAATGCCCTGGGAGGGCTCAGCCTCCCGGGAGGGAGA